TTGGAGGTTGGCGGCGAACAGTAACTTGACGCATGTCGACCGGTTTCCGGCTGATGCCGATTCACATTCTTCCCGTTTGCACACACATACACACACACACAGTACACACCAGCAGGCCTGTGTGCACAAAGGGCTCGACTTTTAGCCCGCTTTGTTTAGGCCCATTCTTTCATGCCGATCTGCATGAGATTGTTTATCCTGACGAAGGCATCACGAACATCGCCTGCGTAGGCACGTGAAAAGGATTCGCTCCCAGGCCAGTTGAGCCCGGCACACGTGGCCCGCCGACCTGTCGCCTGCGTTGGGCCGCGCTCGCCAATTTGTTTGATGCAACCGATCTGCGCCTCTCCACCGCGAGGCCATCAACACGCCGACTGTTGTTGGGTGGGACGAGCCGGACCAAAGGCGTCCCCGATTTGCGGGACGTCTCGACCACACCCACAACCCCACGCCTCTTTCAGCCTTCTACAATGCATTCACATCTTCCAATTGCCCGTCTCGCCAGAAGAAAGAGACTGATGCTCTCCAGACGTGTGCACAACAGCAGGGAATAGCAGTAAAACAATGATTTCCAAGAGTGTGCGCTTGTCGAAAGTGGAGCTTATGGCAAATGCCGAAATGTTAACCAAAAACACCAAAGCGCCGGAGACGCAGTCAGAGCCTGTGAGGAGGGATTGCGTAAATCTTTATTCCCGCTCAAACCATTGCCTGATTTTGATGCCACCTGCTGATTGGTTCAAAAAGTTCCGCTCTGATAGGTCCAAAGGTAGGCTCAGTAGGCTGGAGCGATTTGATTGGCCAGCGAGAGTGGATCACATTTATGGTTCGATTGCCCGTGGACGGGCTGATGCGAGTTGACGGGCTGATGCGAGTTGACGGGCTGATGCGAGTTGACGGGTCAAAGTCGAGTGTACAGTCTGGCCCAATTCAGAGGGCCGTCTGGAAGGTGAGGCGAATTGCAACGCCTCGCATTGCAGACGATTCACGTCTCGTAACTGATTTGCGAAGTACGCTGCGACACTGTGGAAGCACATATGCTGAGCACTAGGTGGTCGATTCGCCCACATTGCTGGGAGTGTCGTGAATCCGGCTGATCCGAACTGCATTCAGAAACGGCAGTTGTTCTCTCGCCACAGTCTCACGCGTTGGCCAATCAAATTTCGCCACTGCACCGAGCCCATCTGTGGACCAATCAGATCGAGGCCTCTTGAATCAATCTGAATCCGAAATTCAAATCTAGCAGTGCGTTGCTGCAACTGGTCTTTCACCTTCAAGTCACTTCTTTCGCCAGCGTGACTCCCTACTTTGCATAGCCTTTCTTGTTTTACAGTTTGATGTTTTTGGATCACCTCGCCTCTTAATAACCGTGTCTGTTTTGCGTCTCGACAAGCTCCCTCGCAAGATCAAGATGACAATTATCATTATTTCACTACCGAACCAAATGTACTTCGCAGTGTTATCTACAAATCTCCAAAACATTGGTCTTTTACTCTAGACAAGACAATGCATCGTAGGAACCTATTGAAAAGTATTTACAAAGAACTATGAACCATGAGCTATGAAAAGTTGCAAAGTATACGGGCAAAAATATGACATTGTAACACAAAAACAGAATTGAAACAGGGCACAAACCAACTTACAAAGGCTATACGGTGTCTGCTCAAAGGATTACGTGTTTCTGACTCAGGCTGTCCGAGGACCGATGGGTTGTGGAGCCTCGCTCTTTGGACCCACGACAGGTTCACGCCTGCACTAACACGAGTATAGAATGGGGTTAATCAGGCGAAAGCAGATGGCTTCCCATCATCGGGTCTGCAGAAACAAAAAGACAAGAGAAAGTATGCAAAATGGGAATATTTGGGCTTTTATGAG